GTATTTTTACTTTACTGCTTAAGATTTATGTGGACCCAAAAAATAGAATTGAAAATGTATCTTTAGTAAGCATCGTAAAGTATTTGGAAGTGATACCAAGAAATTTGTTTTAAATAAAGAGGCAGACAAATGTTTCAGACTACTTGTGACCTTGGGCAAGCCACTTGACCTCTTTGTAAATGTGGTTCTAAAGATAGCAGCTTTCTGCAATTAAAAGTTTTCTTATATTAAAAATTACCCTTTAAACTGTAGACTCACACTCAAGATAGCTCATAGTTTGAGAGGGTTAGAGATGTGATTTGTACTGAGGGAGCAGGAAAAATGTATTCTCCCATGTCAGGCTCACCCTGGATCATAAACTCATGCATGAATAGAGTGACTGGATGTAGTGGTCTGCACTATTTAATGATTTCTCCCCTTTTTATATAGTCATAAATATATAGGACTGCGGTGTAATAGTCCTATGTAATAAGGTTGGGAAGAGTAATTAATTAATACACTTACCTCTCTTACAGATTGTGTTTTTGTAACATGAATTTATTCTAATGGGATGTATTAATTACGGAGCAAAATTTTCATTAGACAGACTACTGTTTGTGTTATAACACAATCATGTAACAAGGTGGGGAACTAGTGGTGTGGGACGGGAGGACAGTTGAGCAGCACTGCTGTTCTGAGTTATTATTGTCCTAACAGAAATTTGAAAGACCACAAGAAGGATTATGTTCATGCCAGTGCTGGGAAAGGAGGCCAAAGTGAGATGTGAGCAATTAGAGGGTTTTCTCAGTGATGTTTAGGTTTTATAACAGACCTTATAGCTAACAATATGCCTTTAGTATTAATGCTCCTGAAGAAAAAAATCATTCTTACTGCAAACTGAAATTCCCTTGTCACCAACTCCCATTTCCTATGGAAACAGTTGTTCTTATATGTGATGTTGAAGTGCAGTGTTTCTCTAAATTCTATCATGTTACTATAGAGAAGACCCAAGAAGTTGGGCCTGGAGAATCCCATTAATAACAACAGGCCCAATTGGATGGTTGCAATCCATCCTTTCTTATAATTCTTCTTACTAAATATTATTTTACCCCCCACCCCCTGTTCAAAGGCCAGCTTTGGGATTTATTAAGTCTAATGTTGTTTTTTAATTCATTGATTTCTGATTGTACTTTTATTAAAACCTTCTTTATATTTTTCTTAGGTTTATTGCTTTTTTTATCTTCCTTAGTTGAGTGATTAACTTATCTTTGGTCTTACGCATTAATGGAAATATTTAAGACTGTGTGCATTGATTGGGACAAAGAAGTGATGGTGTTCAAACCTTTTTGCCTTGTGAGGCTTGGCAGCTCTAAGATCTGGCTCCGTTCCCCAACATCCTGGTTCTTACAGTTCTTTACTTCTCTGATCTGCACCCATATCCTTGTCAACTAACTACATGAGCCAATAAGTAAATTCTCTTTTGAGTTTTTGCTTGTACTGTCTTCAGGGTACCTTTAGTTGGGTGTTGAATGACATCTTATGAAAAAAGTTTTAGATGCCTAAATAATTATAGAGCTGTTTTGGTGTTCTCTTGCCTGTCTTATATCCTATTTATATTCTCTTACTGCTTCCTTTTATGTGATTGCTCCACCACAGTAATTGAAAGAAGTTTAACATGTACATTCTACAGGTGATTACGTGTTTATGTATTCCTAAACTGTATTTCCTCTTTTATTTGCTTTAGCAAAGTCAGTATGAGATGTACCTTCTCTTACCAACTCAACCTCTCTGTTGGTTTTATTTATACTGTGATTGCTTTTTCTTTGTAGGTAGCATACTTCTGCCTGGATGCTAGAAGAATTCTTTTCCTTTATATCTCTGAAAAGAAAGAGATTTTAAATATCTTGGTGGTGGTCCACTTACAGTAACTTTTACTGGTACATAAATACTTTTGATCTGTATAATTAGGTATTCCTTCATTTATATCTCATTAATCTCTATCTTTGAATAATTTTGCTTCAAGTGTTTTTATTGATATTATTATTCAAATATTTATTCTGTCCCAGGCACTGTACAGATCAGTGGGGATAGGGAGCTGAGTAAAACAGACATGGTTGCTTTCACCCTGCCCTCACACACCCAGGCCCAGGTGGATGTAAGTGTACTTTGTTCATACCACTGATGGCTCAGCACATTGTGTAGCGATGTGTGCCTGTCATTTCCAGCCAAGGTCTCAGCTCCCCGAAGGGGCACCTTGTCTTACACACTGTTGGACAACCTGATTCCTGGAAAGGATAGCAGTAAATAATGTTTGAGTAAATTGCCTGATTTTGTTGAAATGCTTAATCAGTTTACTTCCACTTAGATTTTACTTTCTCCCTACCCAGTATGATCTGCTCCTACCTTTGTTCTTAGCCTTATCTCTTACTTGTAACTGTGTATGTGTTATTCTTTACTTTCTATAATGAATCATATACAATATTTTTTCTAACCAGTGTTCATTTTTACAACTACCTTATCTTTTATGTCCGTAGTGTATGTCTCCTTTCTCACCACTGCAATTCCAGCAAAGTTGTTTCTGAGAAATAGGAACAGTAATATTATTGAAGGGTGATGTTTGATTTTATCTACATTCCGGGTAGTTGCTGATTTTCTTCCTGCCACCTAGTGGCCAAATCAGGATTACAACATGACATAGGCTTGTCTTTTTCTGTCTGTACCCAATCTTTAAAATGTGTTGATAGTTCACGATTGATCTCAGTATTTTTAAGGATCTGCGTGTTGGTATGTTGGGATTAAGATCAGAAGCAATTGTTGTTCTGTGTTATTTTTGTCCTTAGCCATGTATTTTTTATCTTAAAAACACCATTAATAATGCTTGCATACTAACCAGTTTTAGATTTTAGTGTTACCCTTATAGGGCAATGTATTTATTGGCATAGCAGTAATTCTTTGAAAGAAATCTTAGTATATATAAAAATAATATTATTGACAGTAATGACTGATTCTAAAAGATGATTAAATCCCACTAAATTATAAGAAGTACTGAGGAACAAATATTCCTGAGATCTTATTCATTCAGAGGAGTGTTAGTTTCCAAAGAGGCATCAGTGGAGTCTGTTAACTCAGGAGGCAAGATGTAACGATGTTACCACTCCGACGGCAGATGGAGCATGTGCTTGTATGTTCTTGTGTTTTAAAAAATGTCTGAGTTTTATTTTATAACATGGTAATAGCAATAAGTATAACCCACATTTTAAAAGTGCAATGATTTTTAAGAGTTTAAAGTAGTCCTGAGACCAAAAGGTTTGTGAAAGCCTTCTCTCTGGCATGGTTACATCGAATTTGCAGACTTGCTGCTTCTCATTTCATGTTTATTGTAGGTGTGTTGTTGTTTTCAAGGAACCGTAACCTATTCTCTTTTCTGCTCTCTCAAGGAATAGAAGATGAGTTTTAGTTGTGAGTGGCAATTCAGGAAGTTAAGGTAGAAGGCTGAATGTAGAGGACAGAAGAACTGTCTTCTAACAGTACTGGCCAGAATGGCTGTCTCGTGATATGGTGTGTTCTCATCGCCAGAGAGTTCCAAGCATAAATTAGACAACTGTTATCGAGAATATTTTTAAAGAAGATTAATAGTTTAGGGGAGGGGTCTGTACTAAAATGGATCTAATAATATAAGACCCCTCCAAAAGACACTTAAAATCCTACACTTTTAGGGCTGAAACCTTTGGCTGCATGTGAATTCTAATCCTAACAAATAGAGTTCCTATTAGTTGGCTTGGTCCAGTTAAATTCTTTCCTCTTAAATCTTTTTTAAAAATTAAAATGAATTACTGAAATGGACTTTACAGTTTGTCAATTCTATTTATGTATTTTATTCCTCCCATATAAAATTAATTAACTTTATTCCCTTTTATGTGTTTTATTTCAGTTGGTCGCATTATGTTTCAGCTCTTCTCAGACATATGTCCAAAAACATGCAAAAACTTCCTTTGCCTATGCTCAGGTAAATGAATCATTAAATTATTTCCAATGAGAAGTCATGGCTTATAGTTTTTCCTTGCTTAACAGAGTAGATCTATTTCTTAAAAAGTAATGGGCTATGAGATGAGTTTAGCAAACAAAACTCATAAAGTCAGGGAAAAGCATTTTTTCAAGGGAAGAGAGAAAAAAGAAATGGTCTCAAAAATGAAAACTAAAATACTACTGTGTGTAATGAAATCTCTATACATTGCAGTTTATAAAATAATAGCATTTTCAAAACTGATTTGGTAGAATTTCAGAAGTTTCAGTACTCTTTACAAATTTAGCACTCCACATCTCACAAGAAATTTAGGATTACAAAATAGGCAAAACATGATTAAGTTATTCTTTGTTTTATAAAATTGGATTCATATTTTAAAATTTTTTTATTGACTGATTGATTTTAGAGAGAGAGAAAGAAACATCAGTTTGTTGCTCCACCCATTTATGCATTCATTGGTTGATTCCAGTATGTGCCCTGACCTGGGATCAAACTTGCAACCTTGGTGTATGGGGACAACGCTCTAACCTACTGAGCTACCTGGCCAGGGCTAATATTTTTTAAAGGTAGAAAATGGGAAGGAAAACATCTATAATATTACCTCAAAAATAGAAATAACAAATTAAATTTTTAAAATTCACTCTTGGGTATACACACATGCATATACAATCTTTGCACCAGCTCCCTAATTACATTCTTTTACTGGAATGATAATAATTCTTTATCTTTCTTTTCTCCTGCAGCATGTAAAGTCTGCACCACACAATTTAACATTTATGTGCTGCTTTGTATTATTTATCTTGGTTTGTGTGTGTGTGTGTGTGTGTGTGTGTTAAGTTGTCACACTTTGTACGGCTTGTATCTTTTACAGTGTCCAACACACAGGAGTGATTTGACAAAGTGTTAATGGGATGGTACTTTCCACAGAAGGATGTTTTTGTATCTAAGCTTCATTTCTTTCTCTTTTTTTTTTCCAGGGGAGAAAGGCCTTGGGAAAACAACTGGGAAGAAATTATGTTATAAAGGTTCTACGTTCCATCGTGTGGTTAAAAACTTTATGATTCAGGGTGGGGACTTCAGTGAAGGTAGAGCTAAAAGTTATGCTCCTAATAACTCCATCTATCAGTTTCTAAAGTAATCATTATTATGTTTTATTGTAAATATTGTCGCCTAACAGTATAATGTAAATATTAGGTGGTCAGTGAATACTTGTTGGATGAATAAATGTTGTAGACCAAGAATGTATGAAAAAGCAAAATACTAAGACATTTTATTTTGTTTATATGCAATTTGAATAATATCATTACTTGGTGAATTACCGTATGATGAATGCCAAAGTACTGTTTGGTTGTATTTATTCTAGAATTTTATTGGTGTGATTGCTGTTTGAAATAAATGGGTTATAGAGATAAGTATTTTAGTAGCATTCATTGTAATCAGATTGCACTTATATTTTAAAGATGAGATTTGTTAGAATTTTGATTATTTTCAGTAATTACAAGGTGTTATCTCCTTCAGCAAATTGAAACCATTTAAAATAATTTATATGTACTAGTATATTTTTAATTTTCATTATAGTTTAATGTAGCTTGTTATTTTCAGGTAATGGAAAAGGTGGAGAATCAATTTATGGTGGATATTTTAAAGGTAAGCCTTAATATTTTATGGTCTCTTATTTCAGTTCTGATATTAAAGCAAGTTTGCTGATGTATTTTTAATGAGAAGATGTTTACTTATAGTTCACTTTTTGCATGAAACTAATGTTGCATGAAAATACTTTATTTGCATGAACTTGGGGATAAATTATATTGTAATATATAACTTTTAATTGACAAGATTAATTAAGGCTAACGTTATGGTTAAACATGACTTTCAGCATGGAGGTTAGGCAACTATATACATGAAAACTCCTATCTTCCTGCCTAAAACTGTCAACATATTCTTTTGTTTATAGAGAATGTGGTCTTTTGCAAAATGAAAAGGTAAGAGAACAAAGCTCAGTAACACAAACTCCAATTCTGTTCCCTTGCACCCTTCCTAATAAATTTATGGACAGTCTGGGTCAGGTTGTGTCTGGATTTCAATATTGCTTGAAGACTTGAAAAATTCTGTGTACTATTTCATACATCTGTATCTTCTTTCTTTTCCTGATGGGTTATTCCACATCAGGGAAAAGAATCTAGTTGTGTCTTTTTTTCCCCTAAACCAAGCAATTTCTCTGAATAAAAGTTGGTATTTCTTCCTTTGCCCAAGGTTTGTATATTTTCTTTTGTCTACTAGAACTATACGATTGTGTATTATTCCTACAGCAGTAGCATTTGCATAAATCTAACTATTGCACTTGCCCCAAAAGCCTTAGAAAAGTCAGTTGCAGAGATTTATAATGGGATCCATATTACCAGGTGTTAATACCATGATAGCTCCAGTGTTATAATAGTCTTTTATATTTCTTTTGGGGAAAATGGATTACTACTCTTTTTCAGAAGCCTGTTCCCAAGGTAATCATTTTTTAAAGTTTTCTATGTTTCTGTTCGTTCTAAAGAAAGATCTGTTTGTATGAATGTTGAAAGGAAATTTAAATCCTCAAGATATTTCTGCTGGAATTAAAATAATCTCTTAAGTGATTTTTATGACAGAGCTTTTCCTTTGAACTAGTAAGAAGCAGCTCTTTGGCTGGTCCTGTTAGCCTGTAGCTTTGAAAATAATGCTGGTAGGCCACTTTTGTGTGTTTGTTCCCTGTGGCAAATACTTGTGTATTTTAAAATTGTATTTTGCCATTTAAGTTGTTTTTACAGGAATTTCTTCCATAGATAATTTTGTGATCCTATTGATTGGAAGGAATCCACATACTTAATTTGATTTAGGCATGTCTCTACAACTTGATTTGTTTGATTTTTTGGTTTCTGCTCTCATAGTCCAGCTTCAATTCAGTTGAGTACTAAATTTAACATGCAGAAATTAAGCACATAAGAGGATTATTAAACTCCCATGTATAGTACATTAGGCAGGATAATTTGGAGGAAATGAGCTTTACTAAATAAATAGATTTTTTTCCTAAAATTTATTAGTTTTCCCTGAAAGTTATAGTTTAAATGTTATTTAGCCAAAGTATGTTACTACTAAAAGTGACTGTTCTAAGGCTGTTTGTATAAAGTATTAAAAATATGTTCTCTTCCTCCCGGCTTTAAGTAGTATTTTTTGGTCTTTTTATGCTTTTGTTATTTGATTAGTCAAAACTTTTTTTCTAAATATTCAGTCAAGTATCTGTACTGGCCAGAAGAGGAATTTCATCCTTTGCTTTCTGTTTATTTCTGTGAACATTACACTTTAAAAGTGGCTTATACTGGAGACTGACGAATTTGTGTTTTCTTCAAACAGATGAAAACTTTATTCTCAAACATGACAGAGCGTTCCTTTTGTCAATGGCAAATCGAGGGAAACATACCAATGGTTCCCAGTTTTTCATGTGAGTAGGCATAATTCAGAGATGGCTTTTCTTAAACAGAGAAGCGCTATTCATGAGAAAGATGGTGTAGTTAAACCAAGTTTAATGCTAGATTTCTGTGAACTGGGGTTTTACTTTTAATTTCTGATGTTATAGTAACTGGTAAACTAGCAACCGCTTCTGCATTCAGCATATATTCTGGATTTGAAGAATGATAATTAAAAGACTTAACTTGAAGATGTACATTATTTTCAAAATAGGTTGTCATCTTATGAAAAGAAATTGGCTTTGACACTTAATTTGGGAGCTCAGTTTACCAAAGCTAGATTGGAACATCAACTATTGATGAACATTTAAAAATTATTCATAGACTAGGACTAGATGTACCCTTGGTGTGGAAAGCAGTTGGTTTGAATAAACCATTGTATAGTTGCTTTTTCTCTTACTGCTCTTTGAGCCAATTTGAGAGAGAGACCATTATTTTCTGATATTGTATGGAAATAAGTTATTTGCTGTAGAGCCAATATGTAAAAAAACTCAAACCGTAGGAGATCTCTATGCATAATTTAATTAACCCAATGTTGTTGTCATTTCCACCAGAATTTATGAGATTATCACTCAGGAAACATCAGCATCCTAAATTTGCTTTTTTAAAAACAAACACCTTTATATATACATACATGCACAGCCAAAACCTTACTACTTATTTCTCCATCTGAAAGACCTTTGGCATACTTTTAATTATATTATTAACTACAGCTACTCCAAAACTATTTTTATTATAATCCCATGATATAAAATACGAAAGATAATTGTCTAGCATGAAGCTTAATGCTTTAAATTGGAAGTAAATCTCTGCAGTTGTGCTATGTATATTGGAGAAATATTTTATTCATGTTTTATCAGAAAAAGTTTTTTTGGTGGGGGTAGTCATCTTTCTGAATGGATGAGTATGAATGGCGCTTCCCTGTCTTTAAAGGAGTTTATTTACAATAAATCTCACATTTTAAATTTGTCTGAAAAAATGGATTTCCAACCTGATCTGATAAAGTTCAGATAAGGGGCATTCTGTTCCTAAGAATGTCCTAAAAATGGAAAGCTGAGAGAAGATGATAATACTTGGAGTTGTACAGGAAAAAGGAAGACCTTAAGCAGTTGTTCCTATATGTTGTTTTGATTCCAAAGAGTATTAGTTATTATACTTCTTTATAGAGTATTTTTCTGTTCTTAACCTTCTTCAGGGCCAAAAAAAGTAGTGGGAAATATTTTGAAAAACTTACTTGATAATTAAATATAGAAGCTGTTTACTCTTTGACTGAGTTTTCATTTCCATTTTTAAGCTTATCTGAACTGAACACGATAAACTAACGATTCATTGGTCAAGAAGCTACCATCTGAGGGCTCTAAAGTTTCTTTTAGATTTTCTTTTTTTATGTCAGTACATGTAAAATTTGATTTATCACGTAGCAGCAACTTCTCATTGTTACTTACTGATTAGCTTAAACCAGTACACCTACATACATTAATTAAAATCCAGTATATGAGATTCTCACTTCAAAAATTTAGTGTCTCATTTCTGTGTTATTTAGCACTTACTTAAGTCTTTCCTATGAATGTTTAATATCAAAACAAAATTAAGGCCATTGCTTAATTTTACATCAGACTACTATTTTTGACAAATAATGCCAAATGAAAATTTTAACTTCGGTAAGTTGAGATTTAAAATTTTAAACTTATTTTCATAATTAACTGTATATGTCGTTAAAATTACTGTGAACCTGTGATTGAGAGAAATTTTTCTACTTTCAGTTTGAAATTTAATTCTGGAAATGAGTTTCCAGTTAAAAGCAATCTTGGCAGTAATAGAGTGTTTTTGCACAGTCAAAAAAAAAAAAAAAATCCTAGCCTCTCTTTAAAAACTTAAAGAGGTTTTTATAAACATGCTTTTATAATGATGGCTAAAAGTACCAGTTCCCCATGGGTTGCAGTGTAAAAATCAAACCAATGTTTACATTACTAAACAAAACATCTCCTTGCTCTTATAGAAAGGATAGTAAGACGGAGAAGTTTTTTCCTTCAAAAAATAATCTCTGAAAATCCATGTTTTGAAAGCCTAAATCCTTTTGGAGTCAGCAGTAGTAAAAAAGTATGTACTGTCTTCCAAGTTGCATATGTGATCACCGATAATAGCTCTAAAAGTTGAGGTTTTGGGGGGGTTGATGGTCACAGAGCTCTCTGACGGCTCCCCTGCCTTTTACCTTCTTACCACAATTCTTTCTGTGGCACCTGGAGCAGTAATTGTGCAATTTGGAAAAAAATATATAGTGTAAGAGTGGATGGTAAAAATGCCAAGAGCTGCCTTTAGAGTTCCTGTTTCCTAAGCTTAATAAGGACTTTTGCTATATCCTTGCAAAATTGTATTTGTAGTTTATGTTCTAAATCTGTTACTTTGCAATTCCCAAGGAATAAATTCAATGCTTATTAGTGTGTATATTTTCAAAATGTTCCTCAAGAATTCTTGTGCTTTGTGCAGTAGCTATTGTCTTCAGTACTTACACATTTAAAACTTCCCCTTCCTAAGCATACAACATTTTTATTACATGTAATTTTGCATATATTGCTTTCTTTGGGTGGGACAATTACGTATAATATGATGGAAATGAAGTTTTCTTCTCTGAAGCTATTTGTAATTTTTGCAATAAGTACTTATATCTCCTATTGTATTAGTTATAATGATTTTGTTTTAGGGGCCTAAGTAGAAGAAAACACTTTCTTTTTGGAGTAGTACTGTTCAGAAAACATGAGAGAAGTGATATGTGGCACCACCATCCCCATGAATCACTGGGGAAGTAATGGTTCATGTTCAGGTGTCTTTGAAGGAATTCAAAGAACAGGGACCAAAGTAGTTAGTAACCAAGTTAACTTAGTGCTTAGTCACTGTGTCCTTTTTACTATTGTGTTTTAAGCCAGAGACTAGAAAGAGCCACGGTGAAAGCTATGGGATTGCACAGCCTCCAGTAGACAGGGACTGAGAGCCCTGGCTCCCCCTTTTCACTCTGCACACACTGTCACTAAGGAAGAAAGCCCGCATACAGGCCAGCTATGGAAACTTTATTCATAACCTCGAAAACGTTGACAGCTAGAAAGAGTCCTGCGCACCACAGGCTATGAAATCTTACTGGCCATTCTGCTCTGAATTTCTTTTAGTTAGGTATTAGAGGCATCGAGCATTACTGGAAGATAAAACGGCACGTTATAAAGTACCTACCCCACTTTCAAAGGTTTCAGTGTGAAAATGTGGACATGAGAAGAAAGTTTTGTGGGTTGATCCTAAGTTTCTGAATATGTAGAATGGCTTGTATGCGAACATTGCGTTGCTGAAAGGAAATTGTGGCTATTCCTAGCTTTCATTAGCCTGGAAGGTGCGGAGAAGCTTTGGGCTCGTCAGGCCTAGATCGGGAGCAGCAGCAGCCCCTCCGCCCACTCTATTAAACCTCGGGCTGTGGCCAATGCCCTCGTGCCCTTCACTCAGCCTGTGCAGGCCTTTATCACAGCCACGGGCTAGAAAGACCTGCAGAGCTTCGGAGAAGCCTGTCAGTGGTCATGATAAAGAAAACAAGATAACAGAAAAGTCAAACTTGACTTTCAACAGAGTGTTATATTTTAACAGTCATAAATAGGACTATGGGAGGAAAATAGAAGTAGTTCTAGGATATGTTCTGTCATTTAAGAATCTGACTTGCCAGTGGCCACTCATCTGAAAGGGAGAGAAGTGCTAGTAATTCCAGAGTCGTGGAGCATAAGGAGTTGTGTGGTTTGGGTTTGGGGCTTTATAAAACTTTGTTGACATTATGGTAGCAGAAGTAGATTTGGGTAGAAATGCTGTTTTCCTCCACATATTCATGAATGTGGGTGAGGGGAAATGCTAGTAAGTGTTAATAACCTGAGAAGTTCTAGCTTTTTCCTTCTGTTGTTTGGTAATACCTTTGTATGTTAATTTCAGGATTTTTCATGAGCAACGACGTTTATGAAACTTAACCATAAGACAAGTTCTCTGAATATCATCAAGTGTCATCCCTAAAATTCAGTCTTAGTATTACTATTAATGTGGCATGTGCACTGGTGGATATTATGTTAGCATTATCACTGAATTCTTGAAAGTTCTATTGTGGCGACTTTTGGGACATATACGTAGGGCACTGTAACGTGCTTGGTTAGCTCCTGTTGCCCTTACACAGCGCTGTCGCTCTGTGCAGTTTGTTGTGCCTCCTCCATGATGGCGTGATGGTTTCAGGAGTTGGAAGGAAAAACTGCATGTTATTAAAGACTGCAGTAGGCAGAAATATGCTATCTTTGTCTCCTTCTCCCATTCTGTTTTACACCTAGAGTCACTTGTTTTTTACATTCATTGAAAACTTCACATTATTTGAAACATATTCTTTTTTGCCAGTAATTCAAGAAATTAAAGCTTAAAGCTTGTTTTTAAATATTTTACTTTGATATGTTGAAAACCCCTATAAAGAATTTTGTCTACTGTGTCTAATAAGGATTTTGGTCTGAGTAGTAATAGCTATGTTTTAAGTTCAATAGAGTTAAAATTGGTCAGACAGTCTATTCTTTAAAAAAATTATATAATGGGGAAAATCAGATTAGGCGGGACAATAAAGTACCGTATGTGGCCCAGATTTGCCAGCATACTCTTAGACGTTCATCTCCTCCTGCCTTTTTCTCTTTTGAGGAGATCCTTAAAATTCTAGTTATGCTGCTTTATTATATTACTGTTATTTTCAGTGACTGACCAGCTACAGTGTGTATATAATGTCAGTGAACAGTAGCTATAGTCCAAACGTTTGCTCATTAACTTCTGATAGTGGCTTGTTGCGGTGTATGACTGAAAAATGGTTTCGAGTGTGGAGCAGGCAAGACTGTAGCTATTTGAGGTGAATTTGTAAAAGAGTTCCCTGAAATGTTGTTTGTTTTGAATTCTCTTAACTCAGTTTTTTCCATTGAAATTATTGCTTTCCATTGTATTAAGGGCTCCTGGGCATTCAAGGTTTATGTTTATGTATGTGCTCAGGGTGCATTTTTCTTTTTTTAAGAAATGTTAGTTGACTTAGCTGGTTTCTAGGACTTGTGAAACAAAACGTACTGTTTTGTTAATAGGTATTAACACGCTTGTGTTGCGATACTAAGGACCTGAACAGATTCCAACTTCAACTCCAGTGCTTTTCTTGAGTACAATTCACCTCTACATACATACCTATGTGAAAGAAAATTTAGAGCCCTCCATTTAAAAAAGCTTTCTTGCTTTGCATAAAACTTGAAAATATTTAATTTCAAAGTTATATTAATATTAAAACATAGATTCAGTCTTGTCTTAAAAGTGTATTACAATTTATTTCTTGCCATTTTTGTGTAAAATTTACAGAAAGAGTGTTACACCGTGCGCTCCAAAGGTAATGTCTCATTACTCTAAGGCTCTCTCTTTTTCTTTCTTTGCCTTTATCTTTTAATCCTATTGTTATGTGCATTGAACAATTTTAAGGGGGGAAAAAATACCTCCATTTGATCTGTATGGCAGCAATACATGTAAAACTTGTGTTTTATTGTTCATGGTTAATCCTGGGAAGTATGTTTTAATTTCAGTGGCTTATTTCTACCAGTTTCCACACATCTTCAGGGTGGGGGTGTTATATTGTATATAATGGTTTTAGATTTCATTTTAGTACAGAACTATTAATATCTGTATAAGGCCAAAGGCTTCCTTGATAATGGTGTTAAAATAGATTGTTGAAGTAACAGTGCCACTTACAATTTCTAGGATGCACATATACAGGGGTGGGCAAAAGTAGGCTTGAATACATGAAACAATTTATTCTTGCATTATTTATTGATTGATTATTGTATTATTTATTTTTATTATTATTATTATTATTAACAACCTACTTTTGCTCACCCCTGTATTTTTTAAGTAGATTCAAGGGTTGGGGAAACCTGGAAAATTTGTGTCTAAGTGACAGGAGAAAATGAAAGTATTGAAAGCTTTTGTCATTTGAAATGTTGTGTGCGGTGTTTCTCCTTAGGAATGTTTTCATAAGCATGTACAGGTGATAGGCTGTGGCCTTCTAAGGGCTTACCTCACCAAGCAAATGTCATCACTGCATGGGACTTCACAAGGGTATTGTTTTGAAAGATCAAAACAATTAAGACTTGGTGGGATGAAATCGCTTGTCCATTGTAATAGAATTGAATAGCCTGGACTGAGCACATCATTTCCCCTGCCCTTTTGTAACCCTATTTGGCAGCATCCACTGTTTATCCCTGTCTGAGTGTCAACCCAGTGCCAGTAAGCCTGCTTTACATAGGGATTTCTACTAGAACAGAGACTGCGAACCCCAGTGGGCTTCCTTTCCTTAAGATCCTTTCAGTATTCTTAATATGTAGTCTAACCCAACTAGGGTATACATTTGTATCGCTGCATCCTGAATTGCAGACGTAAGGGACTGCATTACACCAGGTTAGGCACTGCGGGTCAGCTGAAGTTTGTCCTTGAAAGAATTGTTCCTGTTTTCATTTGTTCCCTTCACTATTGCTGTAAAGGACCAAGGTCATTTGTCTTTAGTTTTCATTTGAATTAAAAACACAACTCGAATCTGTCACAAAGGTAGCTATTCATCATCAAATTGAGTCTCAAGGAGTACGTTGCTACATCACAGCAGTTAGCTGGACTGTTTACATCTTACCATTTGCAGAGGTTTGCCATAAGGTGTTTTCATAGCACTCCTATTAGCCGAGGTGGCAAATTGAATGGGGTTCTCTGTGTTTTAGAAAAATCTGTGGGCTTTTCCCAGTGCCAGAAGATTGAGAGCTGTGAGAGGAAGGATCAGGGAGGAAGAGGAGGAGTGAACCTAACCAACAAACCGTCCATTGTTCTCACTGCTACGCATTTGAGACGGAGCCTTTACATAGCAGAACATTTTTACCTTTAAATTTTTTACCTCTTTACATCTTTCCTACAATGGATCACTGTCTAGAGTATGGACTCCTTTCTTCCTGTCTTTAGTGTGCTTTGGTAAGGTTTGATAATGGGGGAAGCACATTTCTATCTCATAGTTATTGTACAAGGCAGTTTCTGGATGCTAGTTTAATGATTTGAGCATTAGTGCCTCACCAGTTTGCTAGACTGACTTTTTTCTCTCTTTCTTTCTTTTCTTTCTTTCTTTCTCCTGCCTGTTTTTATTCATTTTTACTATTACATTAGCTTGAGTTACCACTTCTCAATCTTCTAAGGAAAATTTGAGACCAGTGGTTTTAAAACTCAAGATCCTCTTTAAAATCTGGAACTACTTAGGTTGACATTTTAATTTTTTAAATTATGAAGTGGTCTTACAGAACTGAATTTTCTTAATGTAAGTATAAGTGTTATAATTCTTTGTAGAATAATGATTTAATTTAGCATTGTTGTGAAGGTTAAGTTGTATTTTGTGCACTTACATATCTTAGAATTGCCTTAAAATGAATATAAAAATTGATAAGGGAGCTTCTAGAACAATTGACTGCTTTAACATGGCCTGACAGCCGGTGACCTTTCTCTCAAATATCTATTTCTCATTCTTGAAAACTAAGATGTTTGTGGTGTATACATCTCTGAGTCTAGTTACATCTGCTTTTGATTTTTTTTTCGTACTGCAATTCACAAGTGTGAAGATCTATGAAAATGCTATGGGAAAACCTGTTTGGGTTCAAAATATCTTGACCAAATGTACCCCATAGGTTTCTCAAGAGTGGCTCTCTGCCAGTTTGTGGCTGGAAGAAGCCAGTTGAGTGTTCTCTGGGCCGTGGGAATTTGGAATGTCTATAGTGTTACCCATCATTGGTTACCTTGCTGTCGGAAGTATTGGCAGATTGAAGGTTTGCTCCCTACTGCATTTTCAGAGTTGCTCTGAGTGGTGGCAGAGCTTCACCTTAGGTGAAGGAAGAGAGGCAGGAAGTTCTGGAAACAGAATTCCTGAGGCCTAATTCCCATCTGCCTGCCTAAAAGATACATACTGACCCAGTATGAGAAATAATAAAAACTCGTGCTTGCTTCAGCAGCACATACACAGTAGAACTCGTTTAAGTGTGGAGCATGTGTTGGTCACACTTTTCATAGGGCAAATGATAGGTACTTTTTATTCTTGTTTAATCATCTTAATAAAATATGAGTTTGTTTTGGTTTTAGAGTAACTTTAATTTTAGTGTCTGTGCTGTATATTTTAAACTTATTTCATATATATGTATACATATATAGTCTTCATATTGGAGAAACAGGATTTTGTAATTCATTATAATTTTGAAGTTTTATATCAGTAAAATGGCTACTGTTGCTGTTTTTAAGGTTTACATGTGTATCATGTTTAACTTTTTCCTGGTCTTTTTATCTTTACCTCTTTGTTTTCTACATGTTCTGTTAAACCCTTCTGCTCTGTTAACCTGAACACCTGGTTTTTGGCATCGTCTTTGTGTTGATGTTTGCTACACAGTACCACAAAGCCTGCTCCGCACCTGGATGGGTAAGAGCTATGTTCTTACTACCTTGGTGGGGGAAGTGTTTGGGTGGCTGGTTCCATACATATTGGACCATGGGTAAACCCTCAAGGGGGCACTCTTGATCTCTAGGTTAATGTCTCACAGCCAGGCTCTTCCTTATGGATCCCAGGGTGCAGTATCCTTGAGACTCCATGGCTTTCATGTCCCTGAAGGGGTCTTTACTGGGGCCCATAGATGGGCTTCTCAGCCATGAAGTGACCCTATAGGATGGTTTCTGAGTAGCAAGTACATTCTGACTGTTACAGGACTATTTACCGCAAAATAGTTACAAACCACTGGTTTAAAGACAGAAAACCAAGGCCCAGTTTGAGTAACGGTGTTTCTTTCCTTTTATGAAGCTGATTTCAAGTTCTAATTTCCTTCATGCATCGAACACTGTGCTTTTATTTTCAGGTCTATGGACATGTCAGTTACGACAATTGTCTTGGTTACTCTTGTGGCTTAGTTATCAGCAAACCAACAGTTTTTTTAATTTGTGTCGTGACAGGGTGCATGTTGTGTTTGGACTAGTTATTTCCGGTTTTGAAGTAATCGAACAAATTGAAAATCTGAAAACTGATGCTGCAAGCAGACCTTATGCAGATGTGCGAGTTATTGACTGTGGGGTGCTTGCCACGAAATCAACAAAAGATGGTAAGACTTTAGGGGGGTAAAGGGAGCATACCTCCAGGATTTCAGTAGTGGAAAAAACGCATCTGAGTGGCATAGCATAGCCCTGAGACCTCTCTACCATACCTTGTATGCAGTCCATCAGCAATCTTACCAAATCTTACCTCTTCTTCTTGCTTCCCTGCTCCCTGGTCTGCACCACCAGCATCTCTTACCTGGCTTATTGCAATAGCCTATTAAGTGTTCACTTTGCCTCTATCTGTGCTCCTCTGTATTCATTCCTCCACAGCAGCATCCTCCTAATTGGTCTCCTTGCTTATACTCTGGGCCCTCTGCAGTCTGTCCTTAAGAGCCACCAGAGTGATCTTCTCCTAGGGCTCTCTTCTAAGTCAGCCAAAGCTGAAGTCTCTACAATGGCGTCTAAGGCATCTGCCTCTCCTGTGTTTCTGACCTCTTCCCCCTCATTCATCGTCTTCCAGCATGTTGACCTTGACGACTCAGACATGCCTAGTACTCAGGGACTTTGTGCTGGCTGTTTCCTCTGTCTGGAACACTACATTCAGATGTCTGTTTAGTGCCCTCCCTCACTCCCTTTTCGTCTCTGCTCAAATGCTATCTTAAATTATCCCTGACTCCCTATTCCCTTTATACTGCCTTTTTTCTTAAGCACTTATTGTCATATTATGAAGTTACTCTTTTCCTTATTTGGCTCCACTAGAATATAGACTTCATGAAGGCAAGAGTTTTGTCTCCTTAGAGCCTCACCAGCAAACCATATTATAGGATCAGCTTGAAAAAAAGTTTATATAAATTTTGTTTTTAGTTTGCTATGCATAAAGCATGTTTTACGATATTTGGTAATCACATTTTTTACTCTGAAAGATAGGCACTGAAGTCCAGTACTAATATTTTTGTTAATATTTCTTGAAAGTTTTTGAGAAAAAAAGGAAGAAACCAACTCATTCAGAAGACTCGGATTCCTCTTCCAGCTCTTCTTCCTCTTCAGAGTCGTCCTCAGAAAGCGAGGCGGACCGTGAGAGGAGCAGGAGGAGGAAGCGCAAAAGGCGGCCAAGAGCCAAGCGTTCGAGAAAGAGGCGGAAGGCGGCGGGCAGTTCGGAGGAGCCACGGAATAAACACGCGGGGAGCCCGAAAGGGTACGTGAGACCCTAGAGGAGTCTTGCCTAAAAAACGAAACACTCTGGAATGGGGAAAGTGTGTATAATTCTGTAAACTTAGCTTTGCTACCTATTGAAAAAGGAGAGCGTTTGTTTTTTTTACTATAAATTGAAATCTGGCAAATCTAGGGTAGCATAGGCATTTTATATTAAAGATTTATTTGTTTGCAGGTCAAAGTAATCCCTGAAACTCTTAAAAGAAAAGAGTTAGGATTCATTTGACAATTTTGAGAATTTTACCACTGCGGGTTTTTGTTTGGGTTGATGTTTTTTATGTTATCTGTGAGAAAACTGTATAAACCTTTTGAGTGAGACTTACTTGTAAGGTATCAGTAGTATTGCTATTTCATATCTAATTTTGTGTGCTTTTATTATTATGGAATGCAAACATTACATATCGTAATTGGTGACTTGGTATGTTCTCTCTAAGTCACTCTGAGAGAAGTGATACCAATGAGAAAAGGTCAGTCGACTCAAATGCTAAAAGAGAAAAGCCTGTGGTCCGCCCAGAAGAGATACCCCCAGTGCCTGAGAACCGATTTTTATTGAGAAGAGACATGCCTCTTGTCGCGGTGGAGCCTGAACCGTAAGTAGGATGGTTAACCTGTGTTTTCATTTTTGATCGAGGATGTCACCAGCTCATTGCAGTTCCACACTCACCCATAGTCAGAGCACTTTGAAAGGTAACTGGGGGAGATTGGACTAAAGAGTGACCTGTGCCCAACCTTTCAGAATTCCCATTGTACCAGTAGGAAAGGGGCAGGGCAAGTTGTCAGGGGAAAGTTCTTGTTGGAGGCCTGGAAAGATTTAATTACTGATCTTTTTTTTGGCTTTTCATTAGAGGTGAAATTTTGGTTGTGAAGCAGAGTTAGTTGAACTCTTTGAATCCAGTAGAGTAATAAAAAGAGGTGGAAACAAACCAAATGTCCACCAATAGATGAATGGATAAACAAATTGCATATATACATGCAGTGGAGTGTTATTTGGCCATAAATTAGGGTTACCAGAGGCTGATGGAATGGGGCAATGGAGAATTAGGGCTTAATGGGTAGAGTTTGGGTTTGGGGTGATAAAAAAGTTTTGAAAAGATAGTAGTGATGGTTGCACAACATTGTGAATAATTCATGCCATTGAATTGTACACTTAAAATGGTTAAAGTTGCTAATTCTATGTTATATATGTTCTACCCAATAAAAAACGTATTTAAAAATGCTCATTAGCATAATTCCTGATACATAGTAAGTATACTCAATAAAAGCTAGCCATTGTATTAATAATAACAGATACAAAACAAACTGTGGTGTGGAAAACTTATGCATGGAGAGCTGTAGCCGCCACAAAATCCATACTCTTAAAATTGCCCATAAGATGAGGCAGCAGATTCAGAACCTTGAAGGAGGGGCAGTTTATAGTAGAGAGGTGGACACAAATGAACTATAAAAAATGTAAAATAAGATTAAGCATCAGAATCAGGAATAACTCAGGATTTTCTTAGAACATTACTGCTTTGACAAGAGACATCTAAAAGGAGGGGATTTTGTTTAAAAAATATACTGTGCTTTAAAAGTATCATGTATTTCTACCCAGTTGGGTTACCCCCCCC